CATCCACTGATGAGTTGAAGGCGCCTTCGTCCTCGACGAAGCTCTGGACGGTCTTGCCATCAAGGATTTCTACACTCATGTTGTTTCTCAGGATGTGGATGTGGCAAAGTTGTGTTCTGGTATGGCTCTGAGGGAATGTGGAGCAGGTGTGTGCTGCTTAAATAGGCTACTTAGCAGATGGTTTTTCATGGATATTTCAGTGCCATGTTGCCAACTGCTAACTGGTTTCGACCCGGTCAGAAGTAGCCTGCGGTTTTGGGGCATTTCAGTGCTATGCCGGTAAGCTGCCAACTGCTATCACTAGCTTCGGTGGTGAGAAGCGGCCTGCGGTTTTTAGCATGTTGTATGCTATGGGCATGAATACTTTTGCATATGCTAGCTGTTGTGATATTTAATTTGTTTCAAGCCGCCATTTGCGAAATCTTAGAAGAAAAGTCTCTGGTCCACCCAGCTTTGGCAACGGAGCAACCTATCCTGTCCCAATTATATTGTCCTGTTTGTAAACATAATTATATTGTAAACATAAGTTTGAAAAAAGGGCACCCGCTCTAATCATTTTGTAAACATAAGTGTAATTTGAACAAAATAAAGAATATAAATCAATTGAGTCGAAATGATAAGTATAACGTACTTCTTATTTTAGAGATGACTCAAACAAACTCATAGGATTTCGCGCCTGATTAGTCAAAATTAGCCAATTTGAGCCAGTATTATAGACAATTACCCGCAGAAAAGAGTAGTATAGACAATGTTAGAAATGGTGCATTTTGGAGAAAAAATTCATGATCCTCGAGTGTTGTTATCATGTTATGGATTACAAATTACACTGCAAATTTGAACATGATTATATTGTTTATGCTAGGTCAAACCAATACTTCATCTCATCCCAAACTCTGCTTTGTTTCTTTTTCCTCACAAACCACAATGTTATGAATTCTAGAATTATGATAATTGTGGAAAGTACTCACAATTTAACTTATTCATACATTTCAATGTAATGTGATTTGTGAATTATTTGGGATCAAAGATGTAGTGGGCTTGTGGTGATCTCACTGACTCATATTTGAGGCATGAGCTTGACAAAAAAAAAGTCGATGTTACGTAACTTCTTCTCTTTTAATAGAATTGCTCGTGCAAGATTACTGTATATGCAAACATCGTCGTTGCAGCATAGTTGACATGTATAGTACACGTCCCAAATAGAAAACGCACACACGATCCGCTCTCACCTCAACCTGGGAACTGACTGCAGGGCACGACAGGCCAACACAAGCTACCCCATTCCAACCGCGCTTATCTTCTTTTGCTGTAACCACCATCGTCCATGCTAAACGATGAAAAACGTAGATTCCTTTCTAACGAACCAACAAATTGAACAAGCCATTTCGTATCCGCGGCTGCTCTCCGCCATCATATGTCGGCCAAAAGGAAGCTATCAGACAAGGTGACCTGGAGATGAAGAAATGGAGGAGTCAGCATATTATTCATCAAAATAAGCTCAAGCCATACCCCAAAGCTCTCTTCGTGAATGAATCTAGTCAAGTTATAATGAGGAATAGAGATTGGTTACCTTCTCTCCCAACTTAAACGGTGCCAGGCCTCTGTATGGGCAAGTGCTGCAACGGAACGCATCGCCCAACCCACACTGAAATTGACATTTCACAGAGGAATGGAAGATATAATCAGTCGGTGACTTGAGAGTCAGTTGGCTAGTGAGAATCACCAGTGGCGTTGCATGTCTACAAGCTTTAAATTGACTTACACTGCCACAAGCTGACACGGGGTTATCGATCTGTTCTGCAGTCAGCCCCAGCTTCTCCATCTTCTGCTCAGCCTCAGCCCTGCCACAACTGCAATTCTTGCATGCCTTCTTTGTGGCTCCCACTTCACAATCTCCGGCTGGTGAAACAACGGGCAACAATTTTATTTAGCATCTAAACCTGAATTAAACATCTTCAAAAGAATTAAACAAGGTCAGAGGGTTTGTTTGCTATACCAACTGGAAGCTGTGGTTTCTTCAAGTCCTCCTCAGTCAAGAGGCTGTCTTCATCAATCAGTTCATCGTTGTCATCGATTTCAATCTTTGGAAGAGCCTTTATTGCTTTTCTCAGGGGAAAGGAAGAACCCATACTTCAAGATGGCTTCTTTGCCTTGATCTGCAAGTGATTTGAGTTAGCACTCATCAATAGAGAAAAAGCATGTACGGCGGCCTTAACACAATGTGTCCTACTCACAGTAACAGACTGCACGCCATCCTGTGAGCTTGTAGCAGAAGCGTTCACTTCAACAAAACCGCCCATGAGTAGTTGGCACTCGATATAATTGTTTAGCTAATGCAGAGAAAATTAGAAAATCAGGTTGTGCCAAATTAAAATCACAAGACAATGGATGTAAGCAAAAACTGTTCCATGGATTACCTTCTGATCAGAGGAGGGTGTGAAGCTCTGTACCAGCACAATTCCACCAGCTTTCAGCACTCGGCTAATTTCAGCAACCAACTGATCCCCGAAGCTCTCCACCTTTTTAATGACAGACAGGACAGCACCAACAGATGCATCATCAAAAGGAAACTTCCCACCTGACCCATGTTCACAACAAAAGTTTATAACAGGTTCATGGCATACTTAAGTTTTAATACAAGGATGTGACATATTAAAATTGAAGCCTATGTAAGAGTCATCGAAAGCTAAAATATTGAAATGTCTACTCCCAGATTAGTGAAAATGTGAAATACAAAACAATTAGATTGTCTGACCATAAGAAAGACTTGGCTGAAATAACATGGGGTCTGTACTCTGTAATAGCTCATTCATATATCAGTCTGTGGGTGGTAGCCTGATAGGCCAATGTTCGGTGAGATGGTATATATTTTTCTCATGATCGAAGTGAGAATGCAGACCTCTCTCTTTCAATTTCTTAACCAGTTAGTCTGTGTTTCCTTTGTGTATTATTTACATGTATAGAGTAACAGAGGTCCTAACCCTAGCTTAGCTTAGGCTGTTAGGCATACGCGCGAGCGGCTTCGGGTTCGGGTAACAGGGGAAAGGGGCGAGGAGCTTTTAACGGGCGAGGCGCACTGTGTGATGACGGCGACCTCCTCCCGCGAGACCCCGGCGGCCGCCGCCAGGCACCCCACCGCGCGAAGCGGCAGGGCCAGCTCGTCCGTGACCGCGAGCGCTGCCGCCGCCGCCGCCATGGACCCGGATCGAATCACCTGCAACCGCTGCGAGCAACGGAAGCCAGATTGGTTAACGCCCCTGGCCAAAAACTAAGGTCCAGTTCGGAAGTTGCCGAATGGAGGACCTGCTCGAGAAGGTCCTCGTTCCTGCCTCCGGCGGCTTCTTCCTTCGCAGCAACGACGGACCGAGAGAGGTGAGGCGAGGCCGGCGGCGGCTGGTGGCGGCGCGATACGGGCGGCCTCGAGCAGAGGACCGCCGCGTGTTCACGGGTAAGCGATGCGAATGGCGGCGTCGCTGCGTGCTCACGCTGGGTGGCGGCGGCGGCGCCCGACGCACGGTGTGGAGCCGTGGAGGAGAACGGGAGGAAGGGGCCGACTCGTGCGCGAGGAGAGGGAACGGCTGGGCCGAACAGCCGAACCGTTCATTTTTCATTTCGCGGTGGCAGATGGTGTAATTTCTGTCAACTCCGCGAAAGGAATGCACTTTGCAGTTTCATCGACTCATCAAACTCCCGTAGCACATTTCAAAATTCTAAGGAAAATTACCGCATATATTCATATAACATCAATGTATGCTGTCATAAAGTTTCAAATTTAGATTCAAAATTCAGCACAGGAACAAAAATAACAAATTTTCGACACCGAATAGTACATAACATAAGTTAGGTTTTAGTAGATTTAAAGCATTATCACATTGATGTCAAATTTGACATTTCTATATCTCAAGCAAAATTTTGAATTTTAATAAGATTTTTTGTGACACACATACATTGATGTTATGTCGATGTGCTAGATTATTAAAAAAAATGTTTTAAATTATGCTAAGCTATCCGATGCACCGATAACACCACAAAGGTGGGTGAGATACATTCCCCTTGGCAGAGGGGCGGTGTTCGGCATGGGGGGTCTGAACACGCCTTTCCACCTCCAAAAAAATTGTGTTGGTCTTAATGTATTCCATGAAAAAATATATTAGCTACTACCCATGTTCCTAAATATTAGTCTTTTTTATGATTCTAGGCAGCACAACCACTTGCTAAGATGCGTCAAGTTCTACATCAATCCTGCCCTACAATGCTTTATGCGGCGACTTTCTTAGAATAGCAATTTTATCCAAGGACATACCCTGGATACCCGTCCCAAATGAGCAGTGTCCAAACCTAACTCGTACTAGTTGGCACACCCAAGTATACTCATGGGACAATATTTTCAGATGCCTACCCATAGGCAAAGCAAATTACTTCACAAAAATTTACTCAGCGCCCACGACTTCCATTCTCATAATGGATTCGCCCTTGACCCATCGGGTTACACTTCTCAGAGAATTGCAGAACCCCAACATGGTTATTTGGTGCTGTGCTATGTTATTTTAGGAGAATTCCAGAGGTTTTTTTTATCGTGTTTGTAAGATTGGGAGACCAAAAATCGATATGTGTTTTTACTGTTTACCGAGGTGGTTATTTCCAGGTAAGAAGGCTTTCATGGATATTGGTATGGATTCAGTATGTTTCAACTCAAGACGAGTCCGACCAATTGTTATCCTTATGGATTCAGGATGCGACACTATGTTGCGGATAAAAATCACAACATAACCCGATGAGCATGTTAACTGAGAGAAAAAGAGGTTCAAGATGACACATGGATCCAATATCCAAGTGGACCTTCATTGACATCATATTGCCATGCATACACGAACTTCAGACTAGACTCTTAGACCGACTTTTTTTAACTTGAAAACTCTGACACGGACACGATCGATGCTAAGACGATTTATTCCACTGGTCCACCCACGACGCGCGTAGCCCAATCCGACGAAGAACATTCACATGAACTTCTTCTTGGGCCTCAGCTGAAAATGAGCACAAATTAATCAGATCAAACCATGAACAAATAAACTTCGACCACAAAATCTAAAGAAATAGCTAGCCGAAAAACAAGCGAACCTCGTTGCTGTGGCCGCACTTCTTCTTGCGGCAGTTGGTGGCCCTGGCGGGAAGGCGCGCGTAGCACCTGCAACGCGAAGAGAAAAATCAGTCCATGGTAGCAGGCAGGCATGCATGCATGTCACACGGGAATCTAAGGGTGCGTGTATACGTACTTGCGGCAGATCATTCTCTTCTCGTTGTACTTGAGCGCGAGCTGCAGGAGGTTGGGCGGGACTCCGGTGGGGCGGCCGCCGCGGCTGCCCCCGCGGAGGCGCAGCACCAGGTGGAGCGTCGACTCCTTCTGGATGTTGTAGTCGGCCAGCGTGCGGCCCTCCTCCAGCTGCTTCCCGGCGAAGATCAGACGCTGCTGGTCCGGCGGGATACCTACACGAAAAATGTACGTCGAGTTGAGCAAATCAAGAGAGAACTTAACAGATGCGCCCGGATCGTAAAATGGCGGCGACGATCATCGATCGTCCCGGCCGGCAGATCGATCGGCTCATACCTTCTTTGTCCTGGATCTTGGCCTTGACATTGTCGATGGTGTCGCTGCTCTCGACCTCGAGGGTGATGGTCTTGCCGGTCAGGGTCTTGACGAAGATCTGCATCTTGACGGGACGGCCAACAGCGCGCTCGCACTCGCTCGAGAGGTAGGGTTCGCGTGCTTCGGTGGCCGTGATGGGAATGAGGAATGGCAGTAGTGCATGGCGCCCTTATATAGAGCCACGAGGAGAGGAGGAAACGCAGGCGCTACGAAAGCCCTTCGCATGCATGGATGATCGCAACTAATCTGTCCGCGCGTATCGTAACTGCATATAATAATTGAGGTACGTAATTAACATCTTCCCACGGATACGGCGTCAACCGCTCGTCCAGATCACTGGGAGTGCTAATTTTGTTTTCATTCGTTTTGTTTCGTTAAGAGAGAAATGAGGAGTTGCCTTAACTTTCTACTCCCTCCGTTCCGAATTACTTATCACATGTATGAATGTATCTAGATGTATTTTAATTCTAGATATATCCATTTCCGTGACGAGTTTGAAACGGAGGGAGTACTTTCTACTCCAAAGTTAAAACTCGGGATCACACATGTTTTTTTTTGAGGGTCAAACACTGATTTCATTACTTAACTTACAGTTACATCGTTGCAAATAGAACCACGAATACAAATGTTCAAAAAAGCGTCATGAATACAAATGTTCAAAAAAAAAAGCATCATGAATACAAACTGGAGGAACATTAAACCAAGTTTTACATGGCTTATTCGCGCAGCCTTCCCTTGCAAGATTGTGAGCTACCTTGTTCGTCGATCTTCTGGACCAGATTATCTGATGTTGGTCGACACCGTTTAGCAATTCCTTAATCTCTTCAATAAGAGGGCCAAAACGTGATCTGTCACGATCATTGGACAGAAGTGCACGTGCCACTCCCAGGTTGTCCGTCTCTAAGCACATTTTTTCTGCACCAAGTTCCGTCGCCAGTTGGACTCCCCTCCTGCAAGCCAACAATTCCGCATGCTCGGGAACGGTGACGTTAGAGAAAAAAATGACAAGCCCCTGCACGGAACATGCCATGATGGTCACGAACCACCACTCCCCCGCCAGCCCATGCCCCTTCCTTCTTCATAGCTCCGTCAACATTCACTTTCAGCCAATTCACCTCCGGTGGACTCCAGGACATAGCACTTGATGATGAGGTCGATCTATCTTTGGTTGTTTGGATTGCCACCCATTCATCAATAAGCGCCCAGACCCTCCCACCACAGCATTTGCACTTTCAATTTGCTTTTCATCTCTCGAGCTTCGAGCGCGTTTCGAGCACCAGATGCCCTTTTGCCAAACAATATTGGAGTCTGGTGCTTGAAACGCATGTTGTTATTATTTGTGCATTGCATTATTCGACGGAAAATAAGGAATTTTCTAACTGACGATCGGATTGGGGTTAGCTTATTTTTTTATGGGATTGAGATTAGCACTTTGTTGCGCCTTTCTTCAATTGTGAGTTAAACCTTTGGACTCTGATAAGTGTCACACGTGTGGCACGAAGCAATTTCGCCCTGACGTTTTTTGATGGCAAATTCAGTTACCCAAGGATGGCAACTTTATGTTTGGATGGCAAATTTTAGTTTTTTCTAAGTTGTTTTTAATGGCAAATTTAGTTCTAAAAAACGCCAGGGGCGGTGTTACTTCGTGCCACACGTGTGTCACTTATCATTTAGGAGACATTTTTATTGCTAACAGAGGCTATTCTCATTGGTTGATTCGCTATGTGTTTCACTTCAATTTGGTTAGTTTAGAAATGTTTATGGTATTTCTTTTCGTGACTTTACTCTTACTTGGTGGAGGCGGCTTAAACGTCTTGTGTCGACCTGTGAAGATTATGCAAGCCGCCTTGTAGCCATATGTGATGTCTTTTGCCATGTGGCGTCCTTGTGAGCCATTGGCTTTTTATAGTGTGTGTTTCTTAATTCTCGGCACAAAAATGACACTTTCCTCATCAAGCAGAGAATTTGGTTGGCCATTGCTAGTTGTCGATTTGGGTCGCCTCGCGGTTCATATGGCTAGTACCCACTTTCCCAATCTCATGCGGGTGATCCCTTCGAGACCTTCCCATTTAAGAATTGCCCATCGGCCTGAACAGAAGTTAGTTACCCATTGGCATTCTTGCCACATTGTTCATTGCTCTGTTCTAATAGCAGAGTCCAGTGTTTTTAATAGACAGTCGCTACCCCCGGTATGTGCCGCTTTCCTATCTTCTTTAAGGAGGTGGGACCGGGGACCTCCTCGGCAATATTGAAGTACAGAATGCTTGCTTGCAGTTTAGCCTTTCATTTTTAAGCAAGAATCACCGTCTTGAGTTCCTTGCGCACTCAAGAACAAGCAAGGGATGAGCGGTTTGTTGCAGCTGCGGCGGGTATGTGAAAGGATCGATATGGTTGACTAGAGGGAGGGTGAATAGGCAACTAACAATTTTTAGCTTTTCTTTAACAATTTAAACTTTGCATCAAAGTAGGTTGTCTAGATATGCAACTAGGTGAGCAACCTATATGATGCAACAAGGATAGGAACACAAGCAAGCAAATAATATGAAACAAATAAGATTGCACAAGTAAAGGCATGAGATAACCAAGAGTGAAGACGGTGGAGACGAGGATGTGTTGCCGAAGTTCCTTCCCTTTGAGAGGAAGTACGTCTCCGTTGGAGCGGTTTGGAGGCACAATGCTCCCCAAAAAGCCACTAGGGCCACCATATTCTCCTCACGTCCTCACACAATGCGAGATGCCGTGATTCCACTATTGGTGCCCTTGGAGGCGGCGACCGAACCTTTACAAACAAGGTTGGGGCAATCTCCACAACTCAAATGAAGGCTCCCAACAACACCACGAAGCTTCACCACAATGGACTATGGCTTCGCGGTGACCTCCACCGTCTAGGATGCTCAAACACCCAAGAGTAACAAGATCCGCAAGGGATTAGTGGGGGGAATCAAATATCTCTTGGTGGAAGTATGGATCGAGACCTTCTCAACCACTCCCGAGCAAATCAACAAGTTTGATTGGCTAGGGAGTGAGATCGGGCGAAAATGGAGCTTGGAGCAATAATGGAGCTTGGGGGTGGAAGAGGTAAGTCAACGGGGAAGAAGGGGACCCCTTATATAGTGTGGGACAAAGATTCAACCGTTACCCACCAACCAGCCCGCGGCCAGCGGTACCACCGCGCCTGGCCAGCGGTACTACCGCAGGGTCGCGCGGTACTACTGCACGGCTGTGCGGTACTACCGTACAGACCCACGGTACTGCCGCAACCCCAGCGACAGTAAAGATAAAACAGACGCGCAGGAACTGATGTAGTCATGTACCTACGGTAGGGACACGGACCCGTCCTAAGAGCCCTACCGTAGGACGTCCTTAGAGGAAGTCACCTTTCAGACAACTCGGAGATATACCACTCGACGGATTGAAGGCACTCGACCAAGAGCTGTCACTCGACCAAGGAGCCAACCACTCGACTGCCAGAAGACCTCAAGCCACTCCGTGGGCAAACGGTCGGTTATTAAGCAGCCTTTATGATCATTATGACGCTTTAATAGGGACGTTATCAGTAACGCCCACCTTAAATGTACCTTAAACCCTGCATTACTGAGGGCGGGAGAGGGCTGGCGAACTCTATATAAGCCACCCCCCTCCTCAGTATCAAGGGTTCGCACCCTTGTCATCTTACTCACGCATAATCCAATCGACCGCCTCCGGGCACCGAGACGTAGGGCTGTTACTTCCTCAGAGAAGGGCCTGAACTCGTAAACCTTGCGTGCTTACAACTTCCCAATAGCTAAGGTCTAGCCTCCTCATACATACCCCCCTACCTCACTGTCGGACTTAGAACCACGACAGTTGGCGCCCACCTTGGGGCATTAGTCTTAGCGCCTAATTGGAGAAGTTGCGATTTTTCCGATCCACTTGATCATGTTTTCCTGCGGAGCTTTGGCGGAGGGCCGCGAGATCCGTCTCGGCCGACTTACTTTCATCGCCGACGACTCCGCTTGGCTCCAGGAGGCGCCGCTTGACGTCGACGCGCTCCCCGTCCGCGGTGCGACGCACTTCCGCGCGTGCGTCCGTGGCGTCCTCCTGAGGCAGCCATCGACCCCGTATCGGTCGACTCTCGTGCCATCTCCCCGTCCTGTCTCCCGCCAGCGCAAGCGCTCGGGCCGGTCGAGGCTCCAGCGGTGGATGAAGCGCGCCGTGGCCCGCCAGTCGGCGACCCAGCAGATCGCTGCTATCGAGCCTGACGAATCCCTCTGCAGCCTGTTCGATCTGTCGACTGGCTCCATGGAGTCCGCTTCCGAGTGCGACAGCAGCGACCCCCTGGCGGAGGTCCTGGCGGTCGAGGGGACACGCAGTCCCCCCGGATTCCCTCGCACTAACGATGGTGTCGACAGGGGTGATCCGTCGCACCCTCACGACGAATACCTCCCCGAGCCCCTTACGTCGTTGCAACGGGAGGAGCTTCGTCGCCGGAACATGGACGCGCTCTACATGCCTATTGTTGGAGAAACCCCCGAGGCCCGGGCCTTGGAGGATGCGCGCTTGGCTAATCTAGCCGAGCGCACTCGACTGGAGAATCTTCAGCGGGCTCTCGACGAGCGGGCGCGTCAGCGGGCTCCCGAGTCCAGTCGATGCCAGCAGGCTCCTGAGTCCAGTCGGCGCTAGCAGGCGCCCGAACCCAGTCGACGGCAGCTCTTCCCGCCACCACAGGTGTACCGAACTCCGGTTCAGAACCTGGCTGCCGCGGCCCGCATAGCGGAGTCGATCCAGCCCTCCTAGTCGGAGGCCGGAAGAGGATTGCTGCAGATCAGAGCATTGCTCCGAGCGGCGGGGAATCAAAATTCCGCCGTCTCTCAGTCGCGGGACAGGATCCACAGTCGATCCATCGCAACGGAAACCGTCCAGTCGGCTCACAGCCCGAGATCGCCCCCGAGGCGTGAGGGGCGTGGAGACCGGCACGATCGGTATAGGAGGAACGAGCAATATGATCACCGACTCGACCGTGATGATGGGCGTCGGGTGCCGTCCCCTCCTCCGCGGAGTGGATCATATGCACCTCAGCATCGA